AACGTGACGTAGCCTAAGACCAACTTGTCATTTGTAAGTAAAGACAAAGTACAGATAACTTTTTATGAAGTCAGGGATCGATTTAAGATTGTACTTATATTATGAACCGGACCACTTTTAAAATGATAAAATATATTCTTTGATTCTGACAAATGTCGTGGTTAGAGGAAGTTTCTTCTAAATTCTAATCTCCCAAAATTATTCTATTGTTTTTTGTTTGTTCTTTTTTTTTCTTTTTTTTTACCATGGGACCTATTAATTTAAGTAGTTCTAGTCTTACACCAACGTTACTTAAAAGAATAAATAACAATGTAAAGGAGACTAGTAATATTTAAAATAGGTGAGGGTAGATAAAAATGATAAGAAAAATAAACAGATCAAAGGGAGAAAAATGAAATGAGTAGGAATGACATCAATAGAAAGGCCAAGAAGCAAGATGTGGATGAAAACACAATGACAATTATATCCTTGAACTTTAAATTAAGTCTTTTCACTTTCTGAATGTCGCTAAAGAAAAAAGAAAAGTAAAGAAAAGAAAATATAGTTGTGCGTTTGAAATTTTTATTTTATTTTATCCATATTGGCTGGAATGTTTGTTGATGTTGAGACATATTCGTCGGGAGGAGGGAATTGTAAGAAGCCATTTTTTTTTTTGTCTCCAATCGATTTTTTTTTTAGTGGAATGTAAAAAATAGAATAACTTCCGAAAAATTTGCTCGTTTCTTCCGTATTTTGCAACAGAATTATTTTAGTCGAAAAGGAAGACACCCAGTTGAATATCAATGTTACAAATCTTTGTTTACATATATGAACATATGTAAAATTTTCAGAAAGAAGTTCAACTTAACAAATCCGACAGAGACAAGGCTTATAGATACTTGCAATAGAAGAGTTCATTTTACTTTACATCCCGAGACAGACGTGTCCTTTTCACTAAACAACAATATTTGACTTTTACTGCAAAGAGAAATACATTTTTCTAGATATATTCAGTTGGTTCCATCATTCATGTTTTCTCTTTTTCTTTTACATATGCACACTAGGACAGATCGATTGGGAACTCTGGTGTTGCACTCAGTTTGAAAATTGGGGTTTGACATGATAAATAATGACACAAAATATTTTTCCAAATCGTTAACGTTTTGAGGAAAGGAGTTTAAAAGATTAAGTTTTGGTTCAAAATCGTAACGTTGGTATTTAATTTACAATTTACTGAAGCTTTACAAATGGTATATGGACAGATGCATGGTGCAAGCACATTATTACTAAATCATTGTGCCATCAAATAAGACTTTCATCTGTTTCAAAAGGAAATTATACTGAATAATATAACTATATTACGATGTACTGTTATACAGTGCAATATTTTTAATGTGATTTTCAGTAGACAATGCAAATTTAAAACATTTTGTTTTATAATTTGTGCCCAGCAGTATTATGGTGTTATATACGTTTTTATCAATTTTGGGGGTTTTATCAATTATGATCTATCAAATGATCTAACAAATCTTATTCATTCTGTAGCCTATTTTGTAATCTTTTACAATTTTTTTGCAGTTTTTACTTATCGAATACAGTAAAAGAATTGCATATTTTGCTTGTAGTGATTCATAATTAGAATTCCGTTTTGAATATATTTTCCATTCAATGTATCTAATACAAAAGATATCACCTTTATTTGGATTTATTCTTGAAATCGTAAAGTTTTGAAGTCATCTGTAAGCAAAAACCTGAGGAAATTAAGTATTTCTGTGCCTTTTTAGACGATATTTAAAACTAAATGTTAAAAAAATTGGTAAAAGCTATGAATCTAATTTTTGGTATTACTATTTATCACATGAAATCCCAACTTTCACAGTGAATGCAATCTTGATTTTCTAAGAAACATGAAACATCAACCTGCCCTACTGCTCTCTCTCTCTCTCTCTCTCTCTCTCTCTCTCTCTCTCTCTGCTTACGATCGAAGGGAATATCTGCTTGTCTGGAAAATCAACATTTGAAATTATTTTTTTTTATCTGGATATTATATAATTTTCGTCCACAGAATAATCAATGTTGACAAAACCATATTTATTGATCAAACTTAACTTACTCTGGGGCACTCAGTGAGAATCAAACTACAGAAATAAAGGTGTATTTATTAATCATTGGGAGATGGTGAGACATCCTCTTTAAAGGATTATTTTATAACAGACAAAAGGAACGTTAATTCTTATTCATTTTTGGACTTAATTTCAATTGCTTTTTATCGCAACTCTCAAATTATCCTTTTATGTTCGTTAATAAACAACACGAATCTGAAAGAAAGACGAAAAATTAATAATAATTAATATAAATTAATCCAAGCATTTATAATTAATAATACTTCATATGAACACAACACAAAATAATATGGCTGCTAATAAAGTTCTAGTGTCTAAATAAATATGGCGACGTCACAATTATTTGTTTAAATCTCAGATACGAAAAATAAAGTTAACGGATATAGACTTCGAAATGACACAACGAGATATGTGCATTTAGGGTAATTACGCATTGCTTTTTTCTGTGATAGTTTCTTGTGGTGTAATGATAAGAGACAAGTGAAAAGTTGTTTCGTTGATTGAAAAAGGAATACAAGCCTAATTCTTGTCAGGAAGTTACATTTTTTTATTCGGACTCTCAATTTCTAGGTCAGTAGTCATTAATGTCACTGTTTAAAAAAAAATATTGATATCTCCCCAAACACCCACTAAATATAATATTTATAGTTATTGAGATTGATTGATTTGTTTTCTACGGTTTATCAACCCTTAATATTTATGATAAGAAATGCCTATTGTAGCAAATTAGTTCTCAACTAAACTACTCTCAAATCATTTACCCTGAAATCGTTTACTGCAATCGAATAACTGATGGGCTGCCATAATAAACAAAGAATAATATTACTTGATGTCGGTGACATTGAAATGATATACGACATAAAAACCTGAAATCCAATATTATGATGAACAACCGTAGTGATGAGGGTGTCGGACGAAATTCATACCAGTAGACGAGTTAGTCTAGAAGACATACCAAGATGGAATTCTGGTAAGGAGTTAAAGACTAGAACTTTCCTGCTGTTTTGTGAGATGACGCTAAAAATGTTATCATTAACGCAATTCTTTTTCTCTCCCTTTTTCTTTTACATTTTTGTCTTCTGCTGCTTAGTCTCTCCTTATATCTTTCTTTTTCTTTCTTCTATTTTTCTTTCTTTTTATTCTTTCCTTTTCTATCTTTCTCCTTTGTTATTTTTCTTATTTTTATTTCATTTACTCCTTTCCTATTCTTTTTTGTTGTTGTTGTTGTTGTTGTTTTAATATGATGGGAGGAAAATTAGAAAATTGAAATGGACAGGTGTACATTAAATATCCTGTCATGGTTTTATTTTTCGATTTTTAATGACTGTTTTTTATACTCTCAACTCCAGAAGATTCCATCGTTTCATGCCCATCTTTTATTATCTCTCTTTTTTTATATAACTATTGTCATTCTATAGGCATTATTTCATCTTCTCATTTAATTCCCTTGCGCCATTTTTTCTCTCACTCTGTTGGTCATTCTTCCCCTGACAGTAAGTTTTGAAAAACCACGGAAGATATTTACACTGCATCAGTATCAAACTAATCATTGGCAGATGGGAATTTTTTCATCAGCTTTGTGTTTCAAAGATTGACTTGAGTAAGTGATAGAATATCAGACTAAGTCATAAACTCAAGGACAGCATAGGGCTAGCTTCTGTATGCTTGTGCTTCTCTTCGAACTTTTTTCTATAATACATCTGATTATTTTCATATGAATCTACACTCTACAGGTTCTAAGATATATGCACACATACACACATATATATATATATATATATATATATATATATATATATATATATATATATATAAACACACGCACACACAAATAAATACCCCACGCACACTCACACACACACATATATATATATATATATATATATATATATATATATATATATATATATATATATATATATATATATATGCATATGCATATATGCAAAGAAATCGGGAAATCTCGATAACCTCAAGGATTTTATTCAAGATGCATTTGCAGGCATAACCCCTCAGAATTATTTGTGTCGTGACATTTGTCGAAGCGTTTTCTCTGGACTGCTGATTAATTACTTTGTCTTAATTGTTATTGTAAGTAACGGTCTAGTGACTTTTTTGCCACTCTGTTTCAAGACCAAGCAGTCTGTTTCACACTTCAACGCAATCTTTAGGCAATGTGTGTTGTGTTTTGGCTCGACGAATTATATACATTAGTCAGTGGTGCATTATGAGTAGTAAAATCTATTGTATTAACTTGACCGTTGTTAGGTGAGCTGTAGCCGTTGTGTTTCAAATTATTCTAGAGGCTATTGAGTAGAAGTTACTGTCGATCCGAATGCCGTTATTTGTAGCTATTTTATAGTGTTGCCTGTTAATAATTTTGTTAGTAATGTTGTTCTTGGTGTTGTTATAATGCTGTTTGTGGCGTTGACCCCAGTCCACTTTTATATTTGCATACACTCTGTCATTGACATTAAACAATTTTACCCATAAATATAACGTACCTGAAAACTATATTTTTATCATGTGTGTGAGTGCGCGTGTGTTTGTGTATTTAGGCAGCAAATTCTCTTTTAGTCATGTCTGATTGAATAAGTTACAAACGTTATGTCTGATTATTTTGATCATAATCCTTTCATATTCACGAATTACCAGTTGCACGACTGATGAGGATCTCAGAAAAAGATGGAAAGTACTTGGGTAATAAAAGTGATTCTCACTATTACGGTGTATTTCTTGCCTTATTTAATGGTAATATATGGGAAAATATTCGTGAATATGAAAGGATTATGATAAAAATAAGCAAACATAATATTTGTAATTTATTCAATTCAATCACACACACACACACACACACACACACACATATATATATATATATATATATATATATATATA